ATATGGGCAATGCAGGTGTTAAAGGCTTTGAGCCTAGATTCTCTCTGAGGCAGATTGAAGACAGTTATAAATATTCGGATGTAGGAGAGTGTGATGAAGATTATGTCAAATCCAAGTATAGTGAAAGCCACAAACAGACCATAGATCTTGTTGATTCGAATATCTTCTGCTGCCAACTTCACGATGGCCATGTGCTCACAGTATGAATGGGAGACCACAGCGGTCCAGTAATGTTTCAGCCGACATTTGATGAGGATGAGACATGGAGCTACAAGGAGGGCTGCTCTGAGTATCACTGCAACCCCAATCTGAGTGAGGAGTTGGTGGGTAAAGATGATTCCATGTCTCAGGGGATCACAGATGGCCACATAGCGGTCCAGGGCCATGGCCAGCAGAATTCCTGATTCAATGGATTGGAAGGTGTGGATGAGCCACATCTGAAAGAGACAGGCATCAAAATATATGTCTGGTAAATGGAACCAGAATATTCCTAGCATTTTGGGTAGGATGCAGGTACTGAGAGCAATGTCTGTTGCTCCAAGCATTGCCAGGAAGAGGTACATGGGTTCATGGAGACTGCGTTCCGATTTGATGACGACCAAGAGCAGGGAATTCCCAAACAGAGCAGTGATGTACATGGCACAGAAAGGAATTCCAATCCAGAACTGCACAGATTCCAAGCCAGGGATCCCGACCAGTGTCAGCACTGAGGGCATGAAGACTGTGCCATTGAGCTTGAACATGTGGCCTTGGGGTTGCCTGATTTATGCTTCAAGTTTTGTTTTGTGTTTCTCTCTTCTTTATTTGTTCTCATGTAGACATTCCTAGAAACAAAAACTGAATGTGTCTTCAAAGGGCATTTTTTCAAGTATACATGTTTATTGATGCTGTAAGTCTAGGGATGCACATACAGGCTCCCTAAATTCTCTCTTTTTCTTTCTCTTTCTCTCTCTCCCTCTCAACAAAGGCACACAAATATACACAACAATTCAATATGCAAAGCAGACCCACTCATACCTGGTGATGTATGTGCATTTGTGTGCATTTATAAGTTAAGGATATTAGTTTAGTTTTATAATAGGTTCAGGAACTTACGATGTTACATATATCAATTTGGTTTTAGCCAAGAGAAATTCATAGATAGTCATTTAGTGTGCAGTGAACACAAAGACAAAGAAAAAAAGAGGAACATTCGCCATTTCAAGCAGTATGCTGTACTATGGGAAAATAGGAAATTATAAAGTAGTGATTTTGACCTTAAAGATAACAATATTTGCATCATTGTAATAAAAAGTTAAATATCTCTGTGCCTAGGAAAGGAAAACTTAATATTATTAAGATGTAACTTATTGTCGACTTGATGTATATAAGCAATGTAACCCCAGTAAAAATCCCAGCAGGTTATTTTGTGTATACATACATCTCTGCCTCAGTTAATATGGAAAGGCAAAAGGCTCAGAATAGCAACACACACTGAAGAAGAGCACAGTTGGAGCACTGACACTACTGGGCTTTGAACTTAAAGAGGCAGTGATCAAAACAGTGTGATCATGCAGAAGAATAGAGAAATTGATGAGGGGAATAAAACTGAAGCCCACCCATAGGCACACACGTACTTGTAGTCAGCTGATCTTTGACACAGGAACAAAGGCAATTTAATGGAGAAAAATAGTCTTTTCAAATAATCATGCTGAAGCCACTGCACATTCCACACACAAAAATAAAGGAATGTAGACACAGACTTTACACCTTTCACAAAAATTAACTCAGAGTGGATCACAGTATTTTTATTGATTTATTTATTTTGGGGCGTCCCCAGATGGCTCAGTTGATTAAGCATTGGATTCCTGGTTTCAGCTCAGGTCATGATCTCATGGTTTATGGGTTTGAGCCCCTTGTGGGGCTCTGTGCTGACAGCGTGGAGCCTGCTTGGGATCCTCTCCATTGCTCTCTGCCCTTCTCCCATTCGCATTCTCTCTCTCAAAAAACCTTAATTAATTGATTGATTTTTTTTTTAAGAGAGTGAGAGAGAGTGCATGTGAGTGGGGGAGAGGCAGAGGAAGAGGGAGAGAAAATCTGAAGCAGACACCATGCCCAGTGCAGAGCCCCATGAGGGGCTTGATCTGAGGACAGTGAGATCATGACCTGATTCAAAATCAAGAGTTAGCCATTTAAGCAACTGTGCCACCCAGGTACTCCAGGTCATAATACTTTTAGATTGAGAATGCAAAGCTATACAAAATTTAAAAGAGACAATAGGATAAAATCTAAGAGATCTTGGCTTTGAAAGTCACCTTTTAGTTAACATTAAAGGTATGATCCATGAAAAAAGCAATTAACAAACTGATCTTCATTAAATTTGGAAATCATCTGCTCTGTGAAAGACATTGTTAAGAGAATAAAATGACAAAGCATAGGCAGGAAGAATATATTTGCAAAGCACATATTTGAAATAAGGACTTTTACTCCAAAATATACAAAGAACTCTTAAAACTCAACAATAAGAAAATGACCAAATTTAAAATGGGCAAAAATCTGAACAGAAACCTCACTGAAGAGGATATATAGATGACAGATAAGCATAGAAAAAATGCTCATCCTAGTTCACTGGGGAATTTCAAATTAAAATAACAATATAATACTACCACATACCTATTAGAAAGGCTAAAATTCAAGAGTCTGATATGTTAAATGCTAGTGAGGAGATGGAGAAACAAGAATTCTCATTCATTAATGGTGAAGATGCAAAATGGTACAGCTACTTTGGAAGACAGCATACAAAGCTAAGCCTAGGCTTATCACGAAGTCCAATAATTATGCTCCTAAGTATTAACCCAAGCGAATTGAAAATTTATGTAAGCACAAAACTTGTGCATGAATATTAATAGCATCTGTATTCACAATTGCCAAAACTTGGAAGCAACCATATCTCTACCAGTAGGTGAACGTGTAAACAAGCCATGATACACCCCTATGATGAAATACTCAGTGATGAAAAGAAATGAACTGTCAAGTTACAAAAGATATGTAGAAACTTTAAATCCATATTGCTAAGTCAATGAGGCAGTTCCTAAAAAAGCTACATACATGTGATCCCTGCTGTATCATATTCTGGAAAAATAAAACTACAGAAACAATAACAAGATCAGCAGTCACCAGGGTTTCAGAGAGAAAAGAGAAGGATGAATAGATGGAACCCAGGGCCTTTTAAGACAGAAGAATATTCTACATGATACTGTAATTATAGATATGATATACATTTGTCCAAACACAAAGAAATGTACAATACAAAGAATGAGCCCTAATGTAAACTATGAACTTTATTTAATAATAATTATCTACTTGCTCAACTTTTGTAACAAATGTATCACACTAATGCAATATGTTAATTACCAGAGAAAATGTAGGATGGCAGAGGAACACAGGGTATATAGAAAGTCTATACTTCTTGTACAGTGTTTCTGTAAACCTGAAACTAATCTAAAAATAAAGCCTATTAATAATGAAGTTAAATATATACATATAGGGGTCTATAGCAGAGCTTACATCATAGTATTTTAAACAAATATTAACCCCAGGAATGGACCCTAGTGAAATATTCTCCAGTATCCCAGATAAAATTAGATGTTTTAGAAATAAACAGCACAAATAAAATTGATGACATCAAATGACAAACTAGACAGATTTTGAAATAAAGAAATCTTGATGCAGGAATAAATTTTTTTATCGAAATTCAGATATACACATTTTGTACAGAAAATTGTAATTGAAATAATAATGGCCTAAAATGAAAAGTTATAATGTATCGTATTTCTCTTGGAAAACTTCCTCCTATCAATATCTGATCGATAAATAATATTCTTTCAAAGAATAGATGGTAATTACTGATTCTAAACAAGATAATTTTTGTAAAATAAATCTGAAAATATAAATGACATAAATACTTAAAATATAACAGAAAATATTGAAAATGTATTTGTTCAATGAAATGCAATTACTATGATTTATTGATGAAAAATACTTTTCTTATATTTCTTATTGAAGTGATTATATTCTTTACATAGAATCTAATTTTTCTTTGGTTTCATGAGTAGGATAAAATTCCTGGAACACACAAATAGCATCTAATAAAGCCAGAAATAAAGGCTAAAATTGTCCCAAACTAGGTAATGCTCAACAAGAAAATTAAAATTTTGTGGAACTGTCCTCTTTAATCAAAGCTAGGTATTTCCCCACTTCCCTAACCCACCCCTTTCCCATTTCTTTTAAGTACCTGCTCCTATAAAACCCACCCTTGGAAATTAATGCACAGTTGAGTGGCCTGTTTACTGTCATTAATTCTGCTGTGAGAGTGTTAGTATTTGTTCCAATTTAAATATTTGCTTGCAAATCACATAACTATGACATTATCACATTCAGTTGGATGTTTTCCTTCTCTTGGGTACACTATTGCGATAGAATTCAGTTAAGTTCAATATCCCTTTACTGAGTACTTCCTATATAAAAGACACTGTGCCGGGGGCTGAGTAAACACAATACTACTGCAGAATTTGCCTGCAGCAGACAATGAGGCTGCACCCCTGTTGACCCCTTTATGTCGCAGCTCTATCTTCCCAATGGAACATCCGGCCTTGTGCTTAGACTATAACATGCATTCAGACCCCACGTCTTCAACATAAGAAGGTTGTTGATCTTTAACATAGATGTCAAACATTAGCTTCATTGTTATCATTTGTAATGACAAAGTTTGGTAGAAATGACTCAATTAATTTCTGGTTCTTTGGGCCCTTCCCCTGGCAAAGCTAATCCTGCCCCAAGAAGCTGCAGGCAGGATGTAGATATATGAGGCGTTCTACACAAATTGCCCCCTTGTTTGTTTCATTTCGACACATGCAAAATACTAAGTCTAAATGCATTCTCCTTTGAAAGGATGTAAATTTTGCTTATATACAAACTTTAGGTGGTTTCTACTAAGATAATCTCTGTATTGAAGGATCAATTAATTGAAAACTCCAACCTTCCTGATTCTCTAAGAATTTGCCTCAGTGATTACTGGGTAATTGAGGACTCAGATGAATCTGAAATCACTGATATGCAGCCATTCCTTTAGTCTAGCTCTAGGAATCCATGGTCAGGAACCTTGTGTTGATTCTCTGGATCGATCTAATTGTTCTGTTCCTGGCTCTTCATATTCCTCTCACACATCCTTACATCCCTAAACACATCTACTCTACTCTGTTACTACCCTATCTCTCTCTGTGTCTCTCAATCTTCCTCCCTCTCTCTCAATCCCTCTCTCTCTCTCTCTGTCACACACACACACACACACACACACTTTAAAAATTTGTCCAAGCAGGTCCATTTCAGTTATTGATAATGTGTACAGTTCCTTTTCTTTTTCTAGCGTGGGAAAGGAAATGATTAATCTCCAGAGAAACTTTCTTCCCACCTTCATCATCTCCAGTTTTTCACACTTGCTAATCACTTTCTTTGGTATTCTCTATTAGTTCTAAGGGAGCCAGTGTTCATCTGTGACCACACCACGCTACACCCACAACCACCCGAAGGAAGCTTTATTCTAAGGATGACTTAATATCTAAGGGAAAGCTAATTTCTATTCACATGAGGATTTATTGGATCCTAAAATCAAAGAATCTTATATGTACATGGAAAAGACTCAACCCCCTGGCATTCCTTATATGATTCATCATAAAAACCTTCAGCTTTGACCTTTCTGCTACTT